AACACAGCCTCAGGACACACACAACCATTTACTGACATGTGACCTTTGACCTCAAACTCACAGAAACACCAACTGCCTCACAGTGTGTTTGTGTATTCACGTTTCACTGATAACGTGGGGACGGGAGACATTCAACCATCCCTATGGGGACAAAGATGTCCCCATAGGGATGGAGAAAGATATGGACTCTGTGTGTGTGTGTGTGTGTGTGTGTGTGTGTGTGTGTGTGTGTGTTTGTGTGTGCCTCATGGGATCATGTGACTAAAACAAACTCCTGGATTCTGTTTAAAGACCCGCTGAAGACGTTAGCACCGGTTTGGGTCAGTTCTGAGCCTCGGATCAGAACCTCACCGACTCGGACCAGACAGCAGGTCCTTTTGTTGTCAACGGGTCGATTTCACGTCTTTGGGACTAATGGCGGGTTTGTTGGGTTGAGTCCAGTTTTTCACTTTCACTGTTTATTCTGCTCAGCCGGTCAGATTCTGATGGAAACCTGATGCTGCAGCACCCCCTACACACACACGCACACACACACACATACACACATACACACACACACACACACACTGGCCTGCAGCTAGCTGCCTGAAATTCCTCCGTAACTCGATACCCCCGAGTAGTAAAAGAAGGGAGGTCCAGTTCGGTGGTTAGAGCTCATCCGCAATAAACAGACTCTATTACTGATGACACTCGCTCTCTTTGTGTGTGTGTGTGTGTGTGTGTGTGTGTGTGTGTTTGTGTAGGACAATTACACACACCCACACCGGCTCTGTTACCAGCAGCTCCATTAACAGACTCATTTTAAATAGTTTAATAGTTCATTATTAATTCATTATTTGCTCCTTAACTTTGCTTCTAATTTAACCACAATTTTTATTTAAAGTTTGTTTATGTTTATTCATTTATCAACCGCTTTAATGGAAGGCAGCTTACAACTGCCTACAAGTACTGGTGAATAAAAAAGAAAGCTGAAATAAATCATGATCAAATCAGCGTTTTAACTGAAGAGAAAAGGCAACAAAGTCCAGTTCTACAGAACATTCGTGGTTTTCTTTAAACTCTGCCTGTTCAGTGTTAAAGCAGAAAAATACAAATAAAAAATGGGCCCGATCACGTGACTCCCAAAGATTGCTGGGTTTGACTCGGCAAAGGAAATGATCCCACTAGTTGTAAACACTACGGAGATTTTACTGTGGGATTCAAACTGAGAAGAATTTTCTTTCTTTAAAGAAAAAATAAAAAGTCAGAAAACAAACTTGCTCGGGTTAAAGTTACGTTTGAATTTGCTCTGGACCCGATATTTGACTGAAGTGTGTGTGTTCTCTAAAGAACCCTGTTCTGTCAGCTACATTAATCTGTTAACACTCCCATTGCGCTTCATTGAATCTGTCTGCCTCTCCATGTCCCCCCCCCACACACACACACACACTCTCACACGCATGCACCCCCCCCCCACACACTCTCACACACATGCACCCCCCCCCCCACACACACACACGCACATGCACACACACACACGTGCACACACACTCACACACATGCACATGCAACCCCCCCCACACACACACACTCACACGTGCACACACACTCACATTCACGTGCACACACACTCACATTCACGTGCACACACTCTCACACACATGCACATACACACACGTGCACACACAAGCAACGTGCATGCACACACACACACACACTCGCACACACACACACACATGCACATACACACACACGTGCACACACAAGCAACATGCATGCACACACCCACACACTAGCTCACACACACACACACACACACATGCATATACACACACGTGCACACACAAGCAACGTGCATGCACACACACACATGCACATACACACACACGTGCGCACACAAGCAACGTGCATGCACACACACACACACAAACTCACACACGTGCACACACACGCACGTGCATACACACACACACACACACGTGCACACACACGCACGTGCATGCACACACACACACGGCTGAGCTTGGGTTTCTCCAGCTGCTGCTGCCTCTCTCTGTCTCCAGATCAATGTGGATAAATCTAAAGATGTTCCGGTCCGGGCCTCCTGAGGCAGCCGGATGGTTCTTCTGTGTTCACCTCCAAAAGCGTTTGCTCTGCCTCTTCATGACTGGAGCTTCATATTTAGTTCAGAACCTGCTGATCTAAATAAAACCCAAAGCTTTAGGCTGTTTCTGACGGTCCGCTCACATCCAGCTGATTCACCGATCCATTCATAAAATTCTTCAACCTGATTTAGGAACTTAGAGGAGACCAAGACCAGAGTCAGTTCTGCTGCTTTAGACTGACACCAAACATCTCAGTCAGCCATTGCACCCCAGGGGAGGAAGACGAGGAGGAGGAAGGGCAGAGAAGGGTGGGGGAGGGGAGGTAAGCCTATTAGATGCTCCCCATCCCCCAGTGCTGACATCCACAGCAGTGAGACCACCAACTGAAGGCCCGGGGCTCACCGATGAACACTTCCAGGAAAAAAAGTACAAATAAAGAAGAAATAAGGATTTACTGAGTAAATTCCCAGATGAAGAAAAACAACAAAATCTTCTCTGGATTCATCAGAACAAAAACCAATAAATACATTTTCTTCTGAACCTTGACCTTCACCGCTTGCCGTACACCTTCACGCTGACACGTCACTCACAGGTGACCCTGTCATGAATCCTCATCACCGTTTCCTCTGCAGCTTCTCAACTAACGAAACCTAGTTTAAGACAACCAGTGGTCCGAAAAGTCCGGATGCCTTCAGACGCCCGAGGGGATCTGGCACCATAAACCAATCTGTTAGCGTTTGACTCGTTGGTCAGCTGTAAAGGTGCCTTTCCCCTTTAAGCTGGAGCTGCCGTTGCCA